AGCTTTTACATGCTCCAATTGTAATGGACACAGAAAAGAGACACTAAGTGTTTCATGGATGTAACAAATCAGTGGAACACTGAACCGAACATTACTACACAGGCACAAGTGACATGATTGCAGGCAAGATGAGACAAGTTAAAAGTAATGTCACTGAACTATTGAGAAAATAATTATTATATTCCAATAAAGCTTATTTTGTCCACTCTCGTGGCCAGAACAAAATGCAGTGCCTTTAAAATGGAAAAAAATCTAAATTCCTTAAGTTCAGATTTGAGCAAGTAAACAACTGCACTTAATCACAATTAACTACACAATATAATACAATTAATCACAACTGTGTAATTATTTGATGGCCCTATTTCTCACTCTTCCGTCATTGAAACATGAAGAAATTCTTTATAATTATATCACTACATTATATATCATATCATTACATCATATATAATTATATCATTATATTAAATAATTATGTACGTAATGCAAATTATAACAAAACAGTGATAACTCTAGGTTTCCAAGAGTTAAAAGAAAAGCTGTCGCTAAACATAAAAAGCACAGCCTTTCATAAGTGCTTTCGAGTTACATAAGGTTCATGAGAACGAGGGTTTTGTGGTGTGTTTTAAAACCATTTGCAGTGTTATGTCACATTTGAGACTTTGAAACGAAAGTGTTTTGAAACCTCTCAGTCAGACGTCAAAGATTTTGAAAAGCGTTTTTTCAGTGATCTGAGGCACTTGCTCCTTAAACCTGTGTTTTGATTGATACACTCTAGCAAAATGTTGCATTTTGAAAATGTTCTTTCTCTGTTGATGATTTTTTTAAGATACATGACACCGACGGCTACGGCTTCTATGTAAATTTACAACTGACTACCAGGTTCTTTTATTCAGTTTAGAATGATTGAACATAGTCTTTTTCATATTATTAAAGTTACAAATATTTAAACACATTAAAAGAAAAAGTACCCCATGCTATACATAGGGATAGACAGGCATAGAGATTTTAACATCACCTGGTCAACTACATCTAAATAACACATAAAAAGGTAGGGGATATGCAATATGGTATGGATTATGGATTAAATGGGAAGTACCTCTAAACTGATGATAATCAACAGCATTTCACCAGATTATTTATCAAAGCAGCACTTTGTAAGAATTTTTGTTAAAACTGAAAGAAGTAGCATGACTGAGGCAGGAGGGAAAAATATGCTAAAATTTGGTGTGCATGCACTGCTGTGAGTCACCCTGTACAATCTGAAACAATCATTCAAAAGTCAGAGGTGTTGGGTGGACGTCACAGGAGTTTTTGAGCCAGCATCATATGCCTTTACATATTAATGTCACACGCACAGGCTCACAAAGAAGGTCCAGCTGAATGTTTAGGTCTCAAATGATAAAGCAACATTATACTATGAATGAAGATCAATGAAGATATGATGACAATAGTAGATAATTCACTTACACACATAATTCACAAGACACATAATTCACAAAGTTTGGACTGAGTTCTCTTCGAAAACTCTTTCAACACTCTCAATAATCAGATTCATCTCCTTGGGGAAGGGGTTTGAAGCACAACCCATGTTACGATATGTTCTTTCGCACACTGCATGCAGTTATACATTTCCACCAGAGAGGTCTCCAAATCCCCAAATCTTCTACGATGAAGTTTAATGATTTAAACATCTGTAGATAATCTATATGGGATTAAAACCTTTACTTCAGAATGTATACACATACAGTGAAAAACAGCTTTGAAGAACAAGATTTGAAATTTCTGCATGTTTTGAATAGTTTCAAACCCTGTTCCAGTATCACAAATAAAATACATTTGACTGAATTTCACAGACTACAAAAATACACTATATGCACCATTTCTAAATAATGAATTACTAAATACTTTAACGTGAACTCATTACTGACACAGGCATTCAACTGAGCTTGTATGATCTCAACAGAAAAGCACTGCGAATAGAGTAGGATTTTCTGGAGCTGTATAAGGTTACCATGCTCAAAGTGTTGGCTAGAGGGGTAGGAAGCCCCCCAGCATTGAGCAGTGGAGCACTGGAACTGCGTTATCTAAACTAATGGAGCTTTATCCAATACCTTTGGGATAAGTTGGAGTGACATTTGTGGTCCAGTACTAATCATCCAACTTCACTAATGCTCTTGTATATGGATGCAAACAAACCCTCACAGCAATTCTGTTCCAACATCTACTGTAAAGTTTTTCCTGAAGAGGCTTTTACTGCATTTAAGGGGGAACAATCTCCTTACTAACACCCTTCATTTTAGAAAAATGAGCATGGCGAGCAGGTGTCTACAGAATTTTGGACATAGATGCTGAGAATGCTGATTTGCACACATAACACAAGACTACTGAACTCTGGTGTTTTCAAGCATGTACTTTAACTAAAACACCTTGTAAGCACCAATTCTTGGGGTCAAGAGTACCAGATACAGCTTGTCTGATACCTTTTCTTCCAATACTGTTATCAATAAACTATTCTCCCAGTCAAATGCTGTGTCAGGAGGAAGGCCAGCATAATAAGCTCAGCATACTAATCTGACTAACTGATGGATTATTTTTGAGATGGTTTGTCCATTATATTTGCATTTATGCATTTCTTAACCAGGAGTATGGCAGCTAGCAGCACACACAGCTGTCCTGGTGACAGTAATTGCAGAGTGGAAAGGCCTCTAGTTGTGTTTAAATAATATTGGCCACCAACACAAGACTAGTCTCATCTGCTGTGTGAACACAGGCTGCAGATGGTGAGGCTTTGAAGGAATATCATCAGTCTGCAGCCAGAATGGAAAGAAAAGCAGAACAAAGGCAAGACTATAGCTAATCCAAGTCCTGTTGACCAAAAACAAACATGACTGTGTCTAAAAGTAAAGAGTTCAGTGTTAGTGCCCTAATGTCAATATAACAAAGGCAATTAATACACGCTTGTATCTGATATTTGTGACAGCAATTTTAAAAATCAAGCTGCCAAAAAGCTTTTTTGGAGTAAAGTCATAAAATAACCACTTCTGTTCCTAAAGAACCTTTCAACAGATGGTAAATTATAGAGATGTAGTCAGTTGTGTGATTGTGAAGAACCTTTTTAAAGTTTAAACAACCTTCATATAAAGTAAAGAAAATATACTGATTGAAGTTTTTTTCCTAAAATTGTACATGCCAAGAACCATATAAGAACCCTTATTTTTGAGAATGTGCTTGGTGATAGTGATGTTAAGTGACTTGAACTTGGAGACTTCCCTTCAAGATTTAGTTACTTTAGACAAGATATTTCAACAAGCACTTCATTTGAGATATTTGACAGTTAATATATGTTCATATGCCAGACATAGCCTGACTAGACATATATACTGGAACAGTCCCATATTACAATGATTTGTGTGAAGTTATCTGCCTTGAGATTTAATTACCATTTAAGATACAAAGAATGCTATTTCATGTTCTCAGTCTCTTTAGAATAATACAAACAGTGGAAATAAAATGTCTAAATACTCTTGTGGTATAAAAAAACTATTAAGATAAATCATCTTTTTCCATCTTTGATGGAATCTTGCAACTAACAAAATTCAAGAGAAAACAAACAGATCATTATTAGGAAAAATTAATACAAATTGAAAGCCTATAATGCCCTGGGTGCATAAGCATGCACACCCTTTTATAATGGGAGCTGTAGCTGATTAGATTAGACAAAAGTTTTTTGACTGAATTCTAAAAGATGTATTTGGTGCAACAGCAACAGCGGCACAGCTGATCAACTAAAGAACACCATAGCTACTGTGAAGCATGATGGTGGGAGTATCATGATTTGGGCTGTTTTTCTTCAGTTTGGACAGGGTCTCCCTGTATGAAGACATTTTCTCACAAAACTTGTGTCAGAAAGCTGAAGACAAAGAAGAATTTCCCCTTCCAGCATGACTATGATCCAAAGCCCCCATCCAAAGGAACCATGGAAAGACTTCAGGAAGGAAGATCAGTGTCTTAGACTGGCCCAGTAAGAGCCCAAATCTCAATCCCTGTGAAATGACCTATACTGTACTGTATGCATGAGATCACCTGGTAATTTGAAGGAGCCTGAACTTTTTCGCACGGAAGACTGGACAAAAACCGCTAAGTCCAGGTGTAACTACTTTTTATATCCACTGAATATACTCTCTAGCTCTGTGAAACTTTCTAGACCTACCTAAATTTTTTCTTTTTCTTTTAGCTTTCTCCTAGCAAACTTAATCTTATTTGCTAGGCACTGTTCACAGCTTTCTGTTTCTGCTGAGTCTGCAAATCAGCCTGCTGCTGCAGTCAATATGTGGCTGTGTTTAAAAATAATGAGTGCGTATACCATCTTCTATGCAAAATAATGGGGTCAGATAAGATATGCAGTCTAACCAATTTAGTTATATTTGTATGATCCTCACCATCTTATCAACTCCTCTCTGCTGTGTTGAACCACTGAATATCTGGCCAACCTAATAATACAATCTTAAGAACAAATGGACTAAAATATGTTCTTTGGAGCAATGCCACAGAGGAACCACTTTTGGTCCCCTAGAGAACCTTCGGAAAGATTGGTTGAAATTGAAATCACAAAATTGAAAGGTTCCTTGAGGAACTAAAAGTGGTCCTTCTATGGTAATGCTTCAAAGAACCCTTTTTGATAACTTGATTGTACATTAAGGTTAGCATAAGGACATGGTACCACTGCCCCACAATGCATTTCCGGAACATCTAGGATTATTCACAGAATAACGTAATGAACAAGAGGGATAGGTACACAGAAACTGGCTAATGCATGAATTGCTATTTAAAGAGTCAGGGTCATGTGCTTTCTTTGGTTGTTCTTTCTCTCAGACCTGCTTTAGGCATGACAACTGCATCCATTCCACCGGGCTTCATCTAAGCATATCTCTGTCTGATGCGGTCGCTTCCATTGTTCGGCAGGTAAGTGGGTGCTGTAGTGCAGTGCATTAACTCCTTACCCCAGAGGCTTTTCCAGACGACTGGCTGGCGATCCCACTATCTCTCCCAGAGTGCAGAAGGTCTGACCCAGGAAATCCTGCAAGGACAGGGCGGCATAAAGGGAGAGAGAGGGAGAGGGCCCCGCAGGCGCATCCGGAGCGCAGCAAATGGAGTGAAGAGAGAGAGAGCACACTGAGTCAGAGCAGTGCTTTTCGTAGAAACACGTTGTACAGCTAATAAAGTCTAGGAAGGCATACACGTACGTTGAATTCGGAGGGCTTCCAGGAGGGAGAACGGGCGAGCGAGCAGCATTAACAACAACAAGAGTACATCATGTAACAGAAAAGGACAAAAATAAACCAAAAAGAAAAAAGAAAAGAAAAAAACAAGGCTGTTGTAGTCAGGTACAAAAGATGGTGGGCTAAAAAAAAGAGAGAGAGAGAAGGAAGAGAGAGAGAGAAAGCGAGCGAGAGAGCAGGGGGTATAACCACCCACTCTGATAATCCATTTACAGACATTAATGCGAGTACCAAATCATAAATCGTAACCAGACAGGAAAAAAAAATGGAAATGAACTTGTTTTGGTGATATGCAAACCACTGGCTGGGGTCGAATATATTCTTTATTAATATCCAGGGGTGACAAATAATAACTATCAAAGCTTCCACTTTTGAAATATTACTTTCCAAACTGTATTTAAGAGTTGGGAACTCTTATGTCTAACAGTTAAGACCCAGCTCTCTTTTTCTATTACAAATATTCTTAGGAAACAAGCACTGAAAGCTTTGATAATTGTACTTATAAATGGAACTGTTTCATTTCCTGTTGAAATGAACTTGCACATTACAGTGCGTTATGTGTGCATTGTGTGCACGCATAAAAAGATGTTGACTGAGACTTCAAAACAAACTGCCATCAATAAGGAGTAACTGGTTAATAGCAGTGTGCAGATGGTGCCTTATTAGTTAACAGACAGTGATCCAAAAACCATGAATCATAGTGTATGAAGCATTAAGCTCATGATTTATAGACATACTTCAACATGTGAACATGTAACTCTCATTTGCATAAAACCAAAAGTCATATGGAAAAAAACATGCGTGTAAAAACTGATGAGTCCAGTGTCTGAAGTGCAGAGGGGCTTAAATGCATTCAGGTTCCTCTTCAGGCAAGCACAAACACACACGCATAGCGCACTCGCATACTTACATGTTTGGCCAGATCTGGACTTTTGGAGTCAATGTCATATCTGAAATCAGAGAGTTGTACATGGATCATTCATACACGATATTAGAGATCATTTCCCCACTGTCTGCAAGGTTAAGTGTTATAAGATCACTGGGAATACATTCATTCAAAGCTGCAGTTTGATTCATTTATTCATGGGGATTATATGCAGAGAATGAAGCCTGTGTGCCACTAATGGGTCCATCAAAGTGAATCCAAATTGAAACATGTCCAACATGTGCCATAAGTGTTATTGTGCCAATGTCTGATTTCACCATGATGGAAAAACGTCATCACATACGAGCACAGCCCACTTTAATCCTGTCTTGATAAACCTCACATACAATGCATTCCTTTCATAATTGCACAGCGATATAATATTAGTTGTTTTTGGCTTTTAGTTGTTTAATTGTCTTCTTTCTTCAGCACATCTAAAATGAGACAATTACACTGGAAATGTGACTCTGCCTATGATGTTAAAGTGTAGCTTTAATTCCTTATTGTATTTACTTCTATATTGGGTGAAACACCATGTAAACACAGAACCTCATAGAAATCACAATGCTATTTGTTTATGGTTCTCTCATTTCAGGGAACCATAAATAATCAGACATTAACTTATCACGGCTCTGTCCACAAATGCATAGCAACTGTTGTCAGGTTGGACAAGCTTTACAGAACACTGGCAAAATTCCTATTCAACCTAACAATCTTTAGAGCCACTAAATAACAATGAGTTTTCAGTTTGTTGTTGTAGCTATGTAAAACATATGCTGCATTAAAGCTTATACTTACGCTCAGAATGGGAAAAATCTAGGGAAATGACTTTCGGGATGATTTTCTCGACTCTGAGCTCAGAGTATGACAGCAAATCAACATGGCTCCTCACTGTCAACAGTAGCAAAAAAACACTTCTACTTTTAAATTACATTCGTTTGGATCAGTCAACATACAAACATAGTCAATCAAACTAAAATTAAGCATGCAGACGTGTGTTGCATGTGCAGAAAACACATTAAATGAGGTAAAAATAAACATTACCTCTTGCATTGGAAAAACAGTTAGTTAATGATAGTGTTTCAGTAACTAGTTTGTTCTTGATTGTATTCCGGATGCTAAGGGAGCATGGACTAGAGTATTTTGGGGGCAGATTTTAGAGGGACCAGACCCTTGTTTGCAGCAGAATGTTCTGTAATTCAGCACCAAAAGTTTAACGAGTCTTGTTACAAGATCACGTCTGACCGAGCAAGACTAATCAAAACTAAGGAGGTTAGAAATGACAGCAACAAATTACATTAGCTTGATTACATGACAAAAAACCTACATCCAATCTATCTTTACAGAGTGGCTTTTTACACTAATATTAAGTAAATTTTATTTGAAATTTATAATGCATTCTAAAGTCACTTTTGACAGTGAGTTTTGTGGTACAGCTTCTCATTAGGTTGAAACGGATTTTTGCCAACGTTCTGTAAAGCATGTCCAACTTTGCAGCAGTAGCTACAAAAGAGTGCCCGGACAGGTCATGGACAGGTCACTTAGCTGCTTAGTTGTTTCTTGGTTAGCTGAATGTTGTTGCATCATTATTTCATCCATTGATGACAGATGTGGCTTTTGCATCTGCAGTCTCACTCAACATGAAGACAAAAGCAGTATCAATGCCAGTAGAGCAGGCCATCAAATTTCGGATAAATCAGTAAGAGATGTAAGCAGTAGTATAGGTGTGCCAAAACCAACTTTTTGGGCAGTGCCCACTCTACATAATAAGCATCATAAGCAGCTTAACAACTTCTGGGTTATTGTACCATTATGTATTGTCTAAGATGCTGGAGTGAGTGGAAAAAAAACAACTGTCTCAAAAAAGAATGTGCACATCTGGAGCCAAAGAAAAAGTGAAGACAGCTTAAAGATAAAGGTATGTTTTATGTTTCTGTGGAGTTAACGTTATGCCATTTTTTTGGCTTGTAGTTGGACACCAAAAAGTAGTCAGTCTGGGGTCTGTCTAATAAAGCAAGTTAAACTTAGACAGGTTTTCAGACTAAGCTTCGGCTTCACAAAACCACACAAACACAGACTCGGTTAACATGTTTTATGATGGCCAGTTATAAATTTATATAATTTAGACAGCTTGTGGTGGTCATAGTTATCAGTTCCGCTAATATCAACTAGCAAAATGGGGAGCTGCCCAGAAAAATCTTGCTCAGGGCCCCCAAAAGGCTCTGTTTTTGGGAAACATTGGTGAGATCAGCACCAGCAAAACACTCTCCAGGATACATGTGTCAAGGACCACCACAAAGAGAAAAATACACCAGCATGACCTCAGTCAACCACAAGATGTAAACCTTTGGTAAACACTTTTCACAAAAACCCACTGAGTTCTGGGACAAAGTCGTATAGACAGATGAGACGAAGATTAACCAGTATCAGAGTGATATAATGAGGGGAAATCCTGGAGAATGAAAAGAATTGCTCAAAGATCCAAAGCATATATGGCTGCCAGTTAAATCAGCTCAGCTGTCACTGATGGAAGCAGCAGGATGAATTCTGAAGTGTTCAGAATCCACATAACTACTCAGATCCAACAAGGTTTGGTGAATGGAATGTTACTGTGCATCAGACCAATGACAACATACACTGCTGAAGCAACCATGGACATTCTCAGGGCTTTTTTTCTCGATATGACAAATTAGGTACTCAATCAAAACCCCATTGAGCAATTGTTTCCTGATGGCGAGACTGAAGGCAAGGAGCACTTGAAACAAGCAGGGACATGAAAATGGCTGCAGTGCAAAGAAGATACCCAACCCATAGCAATGCTCATGGGTCAACTTCAGTCAATCATCAGCAATATCTGCAGCATAATCATTTAAGATTTAAATATCTTGACCAATTACTTACAGTCTGTTTAAATTGATATTATCTAAACAAAAGCCTATGATTTCCACATGGTTCACCCAATATGAACGTTAATAACTTCAAATTAAAGCTGATGTTCTTCACTTTAACCTCAGTGCTTCATTTCAAATCCAGTGGCTTGCAGTACAGAGCTAAAAGAAACATTTTTCACTGTCCAATTACTTATGGAGTGGCTGTATTTGGCTGTAATATTCAGCTGGAAATCCCCAATGATGGCAATTCTCATCAATCAAACAGACGACAGCTTCACCTGCTTATAATTAAAACTTAATGGCAAGAGCCACAGCACCATACTTTGGAGAAATTGTGCTATCCTCAGATCTACTCTGATGCCCTGACTCAGACATCCAAGTTCCCTTATTAAGTCTTTATATCAGTGGTTGAATCCCTGTGGGTTGAGCATTAATAACTCACGATATTAAAAAGTGCAGTTGGATTCAGTAGCGCAGGGCCACATGGCCCTCACCGTATGTGCATATTTGCCTTGTTAAGGAGAAGAAGTGTCATTACAGAGCTGTAATGTGATTCAGCGGCAACTCTCAGAGGTTTGCAATTATATCCTGCACCTCTGGCCAGCTCTGCGCTTTCCCCTTTCAACTGAGGGAAAGCTATTGAGGCTAAAGAAAGTGAGCTGGAAGGATGGAAGAGCACTGTGTAATTCATCCGGGACGGAGTGTCAGCCTCTTTTGTTGAGCACTTTCCAGAAGATTGAGGACAAAACTCGACTAAAATATTTAGCAGACTTTTTACTGATTCAACCAGCAGCCTCAACACATGACAAAGAGGACATATATACACAATTAATAATTACAAAGAACACACAGAACCGAGGAGTGGTGGGCAAGAGATAAACGGGGGGCAAGCGGGGGGATGGGGGGGCAAGCAGGGGGAACAGAAAGGAGAGAAACAGACAGAGAAAGGGTGAAAGAGATTGCATGGTGTAATGGGATGTTGTAGTGGAGCTGGTTTGTTGTTTTAAGAAACTGAATTCAACTACATTGAATTGAGAGAAGAGAAGGTGAGAGATACAGGGAAAAACTGATATGAAGAGAGCGAGAGAGGGAGAAAGAGAGAAAAGGAAGAAACGAGTTGCAGAGAAAGAGGTAGGGACAGAAAGTGAGAGGTGGAAATTAGAGACAGGAAGGGGGGAAGAGAGGACACGAATGAAAGAAAGCACGAATGAATGAATGAATGAAAGAAAGCACGAATGAATGAATGAATGAATGAATGAATGAATGAACAGAGGACTCCCCACAGCATAAGGAAGTGGGCCAGCACATCTGAGAGGCTGATTCCTCTGTGCCGGCATCAAAGGGATTAACTTACATGTCAAAACGCAGATTCTGCTTCTCCTCAAAGAAATAGTCCAGAATGTACTTCCTCACAAAGTCTGGGTTCAGTGTGTTGTCAATCACTTCTGTCCTGCCAAACTGAGAGAAAGAGAAAGAGAGAGAGAGAGCAAGAAAAAGAGGGAGAGAGAACAGCAGCAAAGCATTGATAAAAATCTCAGTCACAGAGAAAGCTGACAGATACATATCTCTTTACTCTTTTTTTCTCGGTGGCTCTGTAGTCACAGCTGCAGACTCGCAGCCGTATGGAACAAAGAGAGCGGGATGTTGGCATGCTTTTCGAGGGCTCTGCGCTTCTCTGCTACCGAGAATTGAGCGAGTAATCACCTCTCAGGAAAGTACAGTCTGTGTGTATGTTTTTGTGTGATAACACCGTCCGCTAATGAGATGCACACACGGAATGAATATTCTCAAACCGTCATGAAGGTTGCACATGGTGTTCCTGGCTTGGCTCCTAGCTCGTACATATGTTAAGTCTGCCATGAAAGTTTCCCAAGACAAAGGCCAACGACATCACCTTTCAAGCTATTCAAACACCTGGTCCTGTACGACTTTGCAGCAAAGAGTGTACCAGCTTGGATTAGGGAGTGGTGGGTCTGAAGTATTGACATGCCCTATCCTGATATCAGTTCTCACATGAAAACATCAACATTCACTTTCTTTGCAATGGAATGTGAATTTGATGATGAAAAAGTGTGGAAAAAACACCGCAGCAAAAAACTGCACAGGACAGAAACTACTCTTGCCTTTGCTGTCCTCCTCAAAGTCACACAACTGCAGGACCCTGAAAGAGTCAGAGACCAGCCTTCATTTATGTAATTTTCAGTCAAAATGGAAAAAACTGTTCAAGTTATTTTCTTCAGGAGATATTTCTGAGGAGATCAGATATAAGATAGTCCATTTGCACAAACAAGGTGAAAGTCAAAGGAAAAAAGACATAGAAGTCAAGCTCCACTCTTGATTCAGATCTGAAAAAATCCTGTCAGAATCACTGTGAGAAGACAACTCAACACTATGAGTCTGAAAGGATGTATAGCTGTCAAGAAGTTGTTACTGAGAAAAGGAAATAGTGGCAAATCAAACAAAAAAGCTGCTGGTGTTCTCAGAACAATAAGCTGACCATCCCAGAGTGACCTCAACATCACAGAATGTGTTTGGGATTACTGGGATTGTGAAAAGGAGAAAATACAACCAACTTCTAAGACTGAACTCTGAATCCCTGCAGATTTCTTAGAAAAACTGAAACCAAGTTTCCTGAAAAGAGTGGAAGCTGTAATAAAGGCAAAGTGTGGACACACTAAATACTGAAAAAAGTTATATTTATTCAGTGTAATTTTCTGTTAACTATATATTTTCTGTTTTTTTCTGATATAATTTATAAATTGTACTTTAATGGTCGTTTTCACTGAAAATTACATAAATTAAGGTGGTATCTGACTTTTGCACAGTACAAATTTTTACCAGTTCTTTAATGATCACATACAAATCACACATATTTTATAAATTGTAGGCTATCAGTACTGATGTTTATATATTAATTTGGTATTGGGTTGAAAAGAACTTCAGCGATTTTGTCCATCAAACTTTCATGTACAAAGAACACTCAGGTTCTTTGTAAACAGGCTGTCCCTGAATATAAATGCATTATTCAGAGAAGCTCAAAAAGTAGGTTTGAACCTAAGATTTGTTCCTTTTCAATAATTTCAATGATTTTTTCTGTTTTCAAGACTTTGCTTTGCCTGTCAGTTCAGTAGACAGGGAGACACTAAACGCACCATGATGCACTGTGTGAAGAGTCAGAGCTGAGCAAAACTGTCAGCAAAAAAGCAATTCCACTGTCTAACAAAGGATTGCACAATCCTCCATGTTGGTCTTTTGGGAGCCGAAAACCAACACGTTAACAGGTAAGAATTAAATTATTATAATATGTTCGCCAAATGTACACTTAAACATAACAGCAGGAAAACGTCTTCCCAAATCATTCAGATGTGCAAGCTAAGTCACTAGCTAGTTCACTGCAGTTCACTCAGTAAACTGACCACACAGCTCCATAAACAATGGTTACAAGCACTTTAACTTGGCTCTGACTGTTTGCTATGGGTGGCTTTTTTAGTAGTAGCCTGTTTCAGATATCACGTTTGGTTTTGTTTACTCGTATGCAAGCTAATGTGTTTTCTGCAGGGCTGTATCTTGGTATCAGCAATAGAAAAAGTCGATTACAGCCTCCAAGGCAGCAGAGGTATCCATACTATCTATACCAGAAAATCCTCCACCTCGTATTTCCATTTTTGACATTTTTCAGTTTTTGACATAATTAGAAAATACCTGTTACCCTTTACATTGTTTGTAAATGTCATGATGAATGGATTAAAAGAAATGAAGTAACATGATTTGTAAAAAAGTCTGGGTCCATTGACTTACATTAAAAGTAAAGTATGTCTTTTTTCCTTCTCCTGTAAAGTTACCATGAGATAGCTTAGAGAGGGATGAGCTGGTTAGAGAGCAAGCTGTTACAGAACAACTCTGCTTATGTATGGCGTGGCCTTCAACTGCTGGAAAATAAAGCACCACAACTTGTGTGAAAGCAGTGTTTCTTTTAATAGATGGAGAGCGCTACAAGTGGTGTTTAAAAGTAAAAATTTTGTTCTGTGCACAAAAGCAGAGATAGAGAAAGTTTGTGAGTTCAAATGCATCACGTTAACACCTGCAAATGGCAAATCTCTAACAGAACGCCACATCTAAAACCATCTCTGCTCTGCAGTCCTAAACCCCTTAAAATCCCAGGCTTATTACATACAAAGCCTTATTATTTAGTAACTACAGGGTTTTTAATGCAAACTGGCTGTGCTATTCTTAGGTTATAGAAGTGTGTAATAAAACTTTGGTCTCACCAGTGGGCCCTAGCCATTTAAGGGGTTGAAGAAGGCTCGGTGGTTGTTTTTTTTCCAGAAAAGAGTGGCTTGTCACAGCTCAAGGCTGTAAGCTGTGTGATCTTGGGCTGTATGATGAGGCGAGAGGAGAGCGATGTTTCTTCAGAGGAGCCGAGGTGCCAGTCCTCTCTAAGGATGCGCTGTTCTCCCCTCAGAACTGCTGCTCAACCAAGAGACAGCAGTTTGTTCCCTCAGCTAATTGTGTTTACCATGAATAATTCAACCTAAAGAGGCAACTTTTCAGATGTGTATAAATAAAATATCCCTCACAGGAGTTAGCAGGCTCTGACAGTGTGAACGGTCAGAAAGAGAGCTAAACTAGTGGTGAGGAGAATAAAAGGAAGGGTTGAAAGTTCGAGGAGTCAATAACGATGGCGTGGTTGAAATGCAGATTATGAGGCAGCTGGGAGATTTTCGTTGTGATTTTTGATGTCTTGGCAGTACGTCTCTATATAGATTTTTTCTCTGTTAGACTACAATAAAGGACTTTTCAAATACTTAATATTTCACACATCAGAGCATAACATAAATATCAGAACATAAATATGGAAAAGTGGAGCAAAAAAGTTGACGCATGTCCTCATCTGAGCTTTGAAAACATAAAAAATGCAGATGCAGATACTTTGCCATAACTGCTGACTGCATAATTAGGGGAGGGCAGGGTTTGTTGGCACAGTTTTTACCCTGTGCCATACATATCAGACACACTATACATTAGGACAGGGGTCAGCAACCCAAATGTTAATTAAAGCCATGTTGTACTTTCAACAAAAATCAAACCACCTTAGGAGCCACAACATTTTCTGTCCATTTTACCATCTTGGCTATAAATATGTCTCAATATGTGCTAGTGTAGGCTAAAATCTATAAACAAACACGCAGACTTACTTTGCTCTGCTTTAAGCTTTAGCTCAGCTATAGCCGCTTTTATCTTTTTATCTTAGGCATGAAACTTTTCCTCAAAAGTAGAATAGTTTTTTTAGTAAAACGTCTCTCAACGTTCGATTTTTTATGAGGCTGTAGTCAGCTTCTCATTCGAATTTTCCCTTTTTAACCTTAAATGGCATCTGAGGTGCCAGAATGTAACTGCTGCACCATTTAAGGTGAAACAGGAAAATTCGAACGAGAAGCTGGAGAATGACAAGCTGACTGTAGCTTTGCAGCTTGTTAGTGTTCGGCAGTTCCTCATTGCAGATTAAACACAATGTTCACCGGCTTTGCTGTTTCATTAGCTACCACTAAACTGGTTGCAGTTGTCTGTGTTGCTATGGTGACCAGCAGTCTGCATGCCAACCTTCAGGGTTAAAGCGTGAATTAGCATTTATTCATTAACTCCAGTGTTTAAGACCATTTATTGTTAAACTGTATTAGAACGATTAGCAGAGCTTTATTTTACTGCAAAGAACGATCATTTAATTTTTACCTAAAAATCTAATTCTGCTGTAGAGCCGCAACAGGGCAGTAAAAGAGCCATATGCAACTCCAGAGCTGCATATTGCCGACCTCTGCATTAGGATAACCCAACAAGCAACAAATAAAAGATGTACATCTTAAAAAAGACACTTTCAATCTCAAAAAATATTTCCTGGAAGCAGTGTAGTTATGACTAAATTCAAGTTATGCACTTGCGCCAACCAGCCCCAACATGGAGTTGGTCAGCACATATTATGGAGATGGTTGGCACAATGTTAAAGAGCCATAGGTTCAAAGAATAAAGCAACAAATAGACAAATATAAACTTGAAGGCAAACAAATAAGTTTTTTTTTAAACCAATTAAACTCATTAACAATTAAGCCAATAATGAATTAACATTTATTGATGTTTCATTGGTTTATTAATGTCATGTTTAGAACAGTGATGGACAAAGTACTTCTGTACTTCATGGAAAGTAGAGATGCCCCTCAGAAAAATACTACTCAAGTAAAAAGTAGAGGTCCTCTTTTTATATTTCATATTTAAAAAGTCATACTTGATATGTAAATAGAGTTCTGAGATCTCTGGGCCAACATTACAGCTGGGGTCTGTTTGATTATGCTGAAGTAAGTGAGACCACTTCATGTCAGAGAGAGGTATTCACATTCAAAAGACCCAGAGTGGAGAGAATGGCACACAGCCAGGACCAACTAAACACTCCCAGATTCTGATCTGTG